TATATATATATATATATATATATATATATATATATATATATATATATATATATATATATATATATATATATATGTTTTTATTAAATATTATATATTGATTAACACCAAAATTTTAATTAACACTTATTATAAAAAAAACATGTTTAAATAAAGATAAAAGCGAATTTAATTATGAATAAATTTAAAAATTAAGGTTAATTTAACCTGAAGATATAATATCTTAATAATCTGCTAATAAAAATATTGCAAAAATAAAAATGCTTATATAAAAAAATTAGGAGCGACATAAGTATATAATTCATTAAATATAATAAATTAATATGACATATATCTATTTTTATTTAAAAAAAAATGTTTAAAAATAAAAAATTAACATTTTATTTTAACTCAAAAATTTATAATATTCCAATTTATATATTAATAAATATCTTTTTCATATAAATAAACTATTTAAATATAAAAATATCAATAAATTTTACATTTAATAGTTTTTTTTTTTAAAATTATTGTAGAAAGAGAAAATAAATAGAATTTTCAAAAATAATTATTTTACAAAATTCTGACTTTACATATAAATTTTATTTCAAATATTTGTATTAATATAAATTTACTTTTTTATACACTAAATATAAAAATATAATAAATTTTTTAAATATATTATATAAAATGTCAATAATTAAAATTTATATCGTTATCAGATTCTTATTATTAAATTTCTTAAGTAATTTTTCCAAGTCTATTTTCTATTTTGCATATTGCCTTTATTTTTTAAATAATTAGTATATGTTTATTTTTATTTCTTACATTTTTAAATTTATCAACAAATTAATGTTCATTTTGCTATAATTTATTTGGATATAGTTAATCAGAATTTTCAGTATTATCATTTGATAAATTGTTATATTTATCTTTTTAACAATTTTGCATACTATTCATATCATTTTCTTTTTCAAAAGTAGATTATGTTGTTGTCATATTTTTATTTTACTTGACTTTAATTATATTTTTGCTTTTTCTTTTTACAGTAGATTTTATCTTGTTTTAATATTATTTTTACTCTATTTGTCTTTAATATTCTAATTTATAAAAGCTTATTTCCCTATTATATTGATCTTCTAATCTTTAAACTTCTTGCTTCATATTCTTTAAAATTTTTATAAACATATATAATTATAATTTATTATTTTACTTAGATAGTTTATTGTTCATATACTCTAATTTATTTTTCATTTTTAATTTCTTTTTATAATTAAGTAATTTGTTTTTTATAATCTTCAACATCTTAATTCATTTATTGAATGTTTTCCTTTTTTATTTAAATTTAATAAAATATAATAAATTATAGTACATCTTATTAGATAACTGTTTTTTCTAACATTTTTATTTTTAACTATATTTAATAATTTCTTTCATCATCTTACTAAAATTAAGATATGACATCTTATTAAAGGTTTCTTAATTCTTATCTACATTCTTAAAGTTTTATAATAAGAAATTAATTTTCCTAATATTTAAAAAAAATATTTTTTTATTTTTTTTTTAAAAAAGAACCTTCTTTAAATTTTAATACTCTAAGGTAAATTATTGTTATTATTATTGCTTTAAGGGTTCTTATTAAAACTTTTAATTAAGGTTTTCATTTTTTAAAGTTAAATTTTAAATATCTTCACGCAATTAATTTAATATTTGGCTGTTATTATCTTTTTACATTTCTTAGAAATATAATTATATTTGATGTACCCAATCTTAAAATGATTTTTTTTAATCTTTATTATTATTCTCTAAATAATTATTGTATTTTAATTTATAAGGAATAATATTATCAAAAGCATTAATAATTTTGCTTTTTTCATTTTATAATTCTTTTATTTTTTATAATAAAATAATTATTTTTAATAACTTAATTTTATATTTACTTTCATTATGCTAATCTAGGTCTCTAATCTTTTAAGTAATACTTTACATAGTCTATTCGCATTATTAAGAGATTTTATCTCTCCTTTCTATTTCTTAAGTTAATTAATCTATTTTTTATTTCAGTTACTAATTAGTATATATAAGATCTTCAAATTGCTTTTGCATATTTTCTTCATTTTACTTAAGTTCACATAATTATTAAATTTATTATTTTTATTAATTAAATTAAGCTATTTAACTTTAATTATAATAGCTTAATTTTTGGTTTTCTTTATCTTTTTAAACTAAACTTTACTCAAGAATATTGTTTTTATTTTCTAATTCCCTTATTTATAAGTTTAAATCATTTATTTCCAAATGTAAATCTTCTATTGCCTTTTTACATTTGACTAATAATGTATCTCTATATCCTTCTTTTTCGACACTTTGTTCTATTTATTAAAACATAATAATATTTAATTTGAAAAATACAAAATTAAAAATATTTAAAAAGTAAAAATCCTATATAAAAGAATTTATTTTTAAAAAAAAATTTGAAACTAAAATAATATAATTAAAAATTTTAAATTATTTTCTTATTTATCGTTTTAAATTTTTTTCTTTTCGAAAAAAAAAAACATAAAATATAAAATACAATCAAAATTATTTATTAATTAGCATTTCTATTTTAAAAGTTTTTGTAAGAAAAAAGTGTATTTTTTATCAATACAAATAAATTTGATTTCAAAAAAGCATATATATATATTTATATATAATTAAAAGTAAAAAGTGTATGAAATAGAAATTTATTAAAATTAATTATACAAAAAAAAAAATAAGAAAATAAAAAAATTAGAAAAAAAAAAAATGGGCTAAGAATGCTGCACTAATAGAATAAAAACTTAATATAATAAGCCAACTATAGAATTTCCATAATAAACATTTCAAAATTAACTATCAATATCATTTCTTTATTTGTATTTAGGAAAAAATATAAATATTTTATCAAATTTTTAAGAACTATTTGAATTAAAATAATCTTAAAATAATAATCATATATGTTGTTATTTTAATCCTAACTATTTATAAAACAAATACAATTTAACAGAATTCTAAAGTCTCGGTTCTTAATTTTAAAAAAATAATTTATCAAATTAATTTTGGAATGAAATAGAATATTTCCAAGGAGAAGAAATATTTTAATAGTTTTTAAATTTCAAAGTTATTATAATAATTGAGGACTAATTTAATAATTAAATAAACACCTTTTCTTTGTCAAAAATATTTGATATAAACTCTTGTAATCATTATTATTGTGTTTATATTTATATAAATATTCATAAACAATTCAAAGAATTGTTTTTCTATAATGAATAAGAATTAAATTTATATTTAGATGAATTATCTTAATCACTGTTTGTTAATAATAATTAATTAGAATATTTTAATATAAAATTACTATCCTTCTAATGTTTAGAAAATAAGACAGAAAGTGTTATACAGGATTATTCGTAAATTTCTGAAAACAAAAAAAATACTGATTTTATATCTATTATTAATCCTATTCAAGTGTAAAGAGAAGACGATAACTTTTTACTATCATTAAGTGTGTAAAATAATAATTCATTTTATTCCTAAGATATTGAAGACTAAGATATCTAATCAATATTTTAGTTTGTTAGTAATTAACATAACACAAAGCAAATACAATAATATGTGAATTGAAATTTTCTAAGAAAAGCCTCTCTATTTTTATATTTAATCCATTAAAAAATTTAATTACCTCTAACTATTACTTTAAATAATTTTATAAAAATTATTAATATATATAATTACTTAATATAAAAAAAAATGTTAATATATAAAATTAATTATTATATTTAATATTTAGTATTATTTTTTTTGATAAAAAGTTTTAATTTAATTAATATTATATTGACTTTTAATAAATATTAATTTTTTACAAAAATAAAAAAATATTATAAATATTAAATTTTCAAAAGTTTATTTTGATATAGATTAATAATTAATAATTTATTTAAATTATTGATTTTTTTTAAATATTAATTACTTTAAAAAAAAAAATATTAATAAAGTTTTTTATTATTTAATTCATTTAAAACATTTTTTTATATAAATTCTTATTTTTTCAAAAAAACAATTCAACTTTTAAGATTTTATAATTGCTTTTATATTTATAATTTATATATTTTATTTATATTGTTTAATTTATGAAATAAAATTGGTAATCATATAATCTAAAACAATATTATATAAAACCAATATAAAATAATGTTTATTTTTTTAATTTAATAAAAAAAATATGAAATATACTTATTCTATATTTTCGATCAGAATTTTACCGATTATCTTTTTTAATTATAATTTTAATGTTTTTATAAATAGTAGTAAAATGAAAAAATCTGTTTTAAAAAACAATAATCCAATCAGATTTAAGATTAAAATACAAATTGGATCTAAAAATTTTAAAATAAATAAAAATAACATGTATATATAAATTAAATTATTATTTCAATATAATAATAATATTAAATAAAAAAAAATTAGAAAAAACAAAAATAACAAAAATGGTAAAAAAATTATAATAATATAAAATTAATAAAAATATAAATAAATAAAGACAAGTGGAAAAGGAGGAAAAGGAGGGAAAGGTGGAAAAGGAGGAAAAGGAGGAAAAGTTGGATCTGGAAAAAGTAAGAAGAATCCTCAATCTCGTTCTTATAAAGCAGGATTATAAGTAAAATAAAAAAAGTTATAAAGGAGAATTTTCAATTAAAAAAAATATAACAGTTCCCAGTTGGTAGAATTCATAGATTCTTAAAGAATAGAGTTAGTGCCAAAAATAGGGTTGGTTCTACTTCTGCTGTATATACTGCTGCCATACTTGAATATTTGACAGCTGAAGTATTAGAATTAGCTGGAAATGCTTCAAAGGATTTTAAAGTTAGAAGAATCTCTCCTAGACACTTATTATTAGCTATTAGAGGAGATGAAGAATTAGACATTTTGATTAAAGCTACTGTTGCAGGAGGTGGTGTTATTCCTCATATTCATAAAGCTTTATTAGGAAAACAATCTACTAAATCAAAAACCAAACTAACTGAATAATAAAATTGATATCATTTTTTTTTCGCATTTTTATATTGTATGTTTTTTGTTTGAGTTTGTGATAGAGTTTTTACTGTTTTTTAAAATTTATTTTAAATATTTTTTTTTAGTTTTTCATTTTATTTTATTTTTCGCTTTTTCTATTTTTTCCTTTTTATTTATTTTTATGTAGAATTATTATTGTTAATATATTTTTTAAAATTTAAAAAAATATTTTAAATTAGAAGTTAAAATAAAATTTATGTTTGTAATGATAAAAATTTTAAGTATCCTATTAAAATATAAAATTAATTACATAATAAAATAAAGATATAACTTAAAAGATTATTATATATAAGTTTATAAAACACTTTTCTATATGAAATAATTTATTAATATAAAAAAAATATATTTTAATCTATAATAATTTTTAATTTTTTTTATTTTAATATTAAAATTAAAATATGGAAATAAATATTAATGAAAATTAAATTTTGGTTTTAATTTTAGTAAATAATAATAAAATAATTTTTATCTTTATTAATAAAAAATATTATATATCAAGAAATATTTAGAATAAAATAATTATTATAAAACATTGATATCATTAGAAAATGAAAGCTAAGTATATTATATTATATTAATATTAATATTAATTTATAAAAAAATGTAAAAAAGACATATTTAAAAAATTACACAGAAGAAATAAAGCTATTGCGTTAATTAATATTGGAAGGATAATTTGAAGAAACATTAGTATATTTAAATCCTTTTTATGATAAATTTGGATAAAAAATAAATTAAGTGTTGTATGAAATAAATAAATAATTTTATTTAGAATAATTAGAAATTGATCCTGAACAAGACAAAATAGTCTAATTATTAAAAATAATAAAATAACTAACTACAAACGATAATTATAATTATTTATTTTATCTTTTAAGCCTTCCAAATTTAAAAGACCATTCTGACTTTGCAAATTGGTCACCAGAAAGTGTATAATTATAAATTTTAAATATATTTATATATAAAAATATATATATATATATATATTTATAAATAAATATATGTATTTATATATTATATGTAGGGTAGATTAGAATGCTTTGAAAAAGTTAAAAATTGTTTATAGGCATTTTATCCAGTAGAGTTGAATTAAATTGAAGCTTAAAACAGCTTGTATATGCTAATTGAAAGACTAGTTAATTTAGAATTAATAGAAAAAGAAAAAAAAAAAATGTTTTTACTTGAAAATTAAAACTAATAAATTAATATTAACTTATTAAATAATTCATTTATAAGTTTTAAAAAAGAAAATAAATACAAAATCATATTTTAGCAAAGTGAATAATTCAATCTAGAATTTATTAAAAGTTAATGTCTACTTTAAAAAGAAAATTAATTTTTATAAATTGCTTCTTAAAGTGTTAATCCAACATTATAAACTAAAAATAGTGATATAGCAATATAATAATAATAAACACCGAAATGTTAAAAATAATAATAAAAAAATTAAGAAAAGTAATAATAATTATAATAAGATATAATTAAATAATAAGAACAAAATATATAAATTCAAAATAAAAATAATTAATAAACAAAAAATTAAAAAGAAAAATTGCCAAATAAAATAATAGATGAATAAAATTTATAATAGTAATAATAAAAATAGTAATAAATTGAATAATATTAATAAAATAAAAGTGATTTATAAGAAACACAATAACAAAAATAATAAAAAGGATTATAAAAAAAATAAATTTATTAATAATTTGATGAAAATGATAATTAAAAATAAAAAAAAACTGAAAAAATTTAAAATTAAAACGAATAATAATAATAAAATTATATATAATAATAATAATAATAAAAATAATAATAATAATAATAATAATAATAATTGTAATAATAATAGTAATAATAATAAATTTCATAATAATTTATTAAAAATAATACAGATGATTATATTAATATTAAAAATATTTACTAAAATTTGATAGAGGCTGCCATAATTCTCGACACATAGCCTATAAGGACCGCATCTTTTAATTAAACTGGAGAATATTTCGTATTAGGAACTAACTCTCGTTCTATAAAGGCATATTCAATAGATGATATATTCAATAACTATAAATAAGTAAAAATAAAATAATTTTAATATTTATAAATAAAATTAATGATAAAAGGATTAACCTCCTTAAGTGTTATGGGAAAAATAAAATCATCATCCTGGTTCTATATATACTATAGATTGGAGTAAAAACGGAGAACTTATAAGCACAGGATCTAATGATTTTGAAATAAAAGTAATAAAAGCGCCTAAATATCCTTTTCAAAATATTGACTTTTGCACATAAAAATTAATCGGCCCTAAAGGCATTGTTAGAAAATTAAAGTTTTTACCATGTTCAACCAAATTAATGTCAGCAGGAAGTGCAAACACAGATATTTTATATTGGGATATATAAAAATCAAGTCTTTTGACTTAATTCAAAGGCCACTAAGAAGCCATAAATTCATTCGATGTATTTTTTATATTATTTTATTTAAAAATAAAAAAAAGATTGATTTTAATGGTAATACTATTATTTCTGTAAGCAAAGATAGTTGTATTAATATATGGGATATTTAAAGTTAAAAAGCAATAAATAAGATTAATATTAATAGTTAAAAATTCGGAAGTTTAAATTATATTTCTATTTAAAAAAATGGGTCATTGTCTTCTGTAGGGCATACTAATGGCCTTATTACTGTTTGGGATTTAAGAAATACAGAAAAACATTTACAAAGCATTAATGTTCATTCAAATGAATGTAGATCTTGTGAATTTGATAATACTGGAAAGTATATAATCAGTAGTTCATTTGATAAAACTATTTGTATTTATAATTTAGATGAAAGCAGGTTAGAAAATTGTATTAAAAATCATACAGATAGAGTTGTTTTAAGTACTTTTCATCCTAATAATTAACTGATTTTATCAACTAGTGCTGATAATACAGCGAGGCTTTTATCAACTTAAACATATTTTAATAGTATTTTGTTTTGATTAATTTTTTCGTTTTTATTTTCTAAAATATATTTTTTTTTAATTATAAAAAAAGTAAAATAATTAAATAAATTATAAAAAAAAATTAAATTTTATTTAAGTTTTGATATAAAAATGGAAAAAAAAAAAGTATAAAAATTATACAATTAGCATTACAGAGTAATGTCAGATATTCAAATAATAATAAAAGATAAGGATATTTTAGACAGAAAAAACACTATAGAAATTTATACAAAACGATAAATTAATGATGATTAGCATAACTATAATTTAAATAATAAGGAAAAATAAAATATAAATTAAAAAGTAAAAGTAAAAATATAAAAAATATACTATAAATAAATATAAAATTTGAAAATATTTAAAAAAAAGCAAATAAAAAAAGTCAGGAAAAATATACACAAATGAATTTTGGAGTGAAAAGTTTCATAAATAAGTTTTGAAAGAATCAAAAATATAAGATATTTTAGAAAAACTTCAAAAACTATATAGAAGAAATAGTTAGGATTTTGCATCAGATATTCACAATGCTACTTAGAATAATTTAAAATATATTTTTTTGCCTTAGATAGATAAAAACTTAGATTTTATAAATAACAAACGAAACAGTAATTTTAGAAATTTTATATCCCCTTAAAAAAATATGGATTATAAATATTAAGTAAAAAAAATAATTAATTAATGTAAAACTTATTCTGATAATTTGAAAAAAGAGTAAAGGCTCAATTCACTAAATAATTTGAATTAAATTAATTCATTAAAATATAATAAATAAAACTGATTTTTTTTTTTAATTGCTTAATATATAATATTTATTATTTTATAATATTTTTATTACTTTTATTATAATATATTCATTAAAATAAGAAAAAATATTTTATATAAAAATGGGATAATCTATATGTTTATGCGTGAGAAGAAAAAAAATAGAGAATATATTAATATTCGAATAAAAAGTTAATAATATAAAAATATAAATTATTTAAGGATCAATAATAAATGAATAATTAGGATCTATAGTTAATTGGTCAGATTTTTTATTGTAAAATAGATTTTCATTTATCTTAAAAAATGCATTAAATCAAGAACTGTAAGAAGAGTTAAATTAAATACAAGCTTAAAGAAAATTAAATATAGATAGTAAAAATAAAATAAAAAAGTTTGATACAATTGAATCTGGTCCTGGAAAATTATAAAATTGTTAACATATAATACATTAAATTCTTCCTTTGTGGAGAGGCGGAAATAATTAAGAATTAGAACAATTTGAGGAGTGTATAAAATAATGTTTATTAAAGGCTTAGAAATTAAAATCTTATAGTATTGGGTTTTGTCAAGATGGAATTGATTTGTTTGGAATTCCCTTACAGTTTTGTGCTTAAAAATTTTACGATGTATTTTTAGAATTGCTTATGGGAAATTAATAATATGTAAATAAAATTGTTATTATTAATAAAAATGAAGATATAAATAATATTTATAAGAAAATCTTCGAAAAAGGAAATTTAGATTAAAGTATCTAATCAATTTATAATGATAATTTAAAAGAATTTTGCTAAGATGATGAAAATAAACCTTTAATTTTAAATATGTCTTAATATATATTAAATATTAATGAATGAATTAAATTATGTCAATATATTCTTTATGTCTATTAATTTAATTCATTCTATATGATTTTTTTATTAAAATATGAATATTTTATTCATATTTTTATAAATTATATTTATAAAATTTAAATAATTTTTTAATTAAAAATTATTGATTTTATTTCTTTCAATCATATTAAGTAATTTAAAAAAACATAAATTAAACTGGTTTCACAAAAAATAATATGTATATTTTAACATCAACTAGTTAAATTATTTTATAAAATTTATTTTAATTAAATTTTATTTTTTATTGATTTCAAAATTTAATTTTAATAATATAAAATTGTTTTAAAAACACACATATTAGTATTTATAGTAATAATTTTCCAATTTAAAATTATAAAGCTAACAACATTTTGATTTAAATAAAATAAAAAGAAATAATTAAAAAATAATATAAGAAATAGTATACATATAAATAATATTATTATTTTGCTTTTATTTTTGTGTATTATTCATAAAAATTTTAAATTAAAATGCATAAAATAATTATGACTTGTTAAAAATAAATTAATTAGCATTTTTTATTTTAAAATTAAAATAAATATTTAATAATAAAACTGTGGGTTTTAGTAAAAAAAATATTAGATTATTATTTAACAATTAAACATTAATTTTTTTATAAAATATTATATATTAAAAATTAAATAAAAAAAACTATCATTTAGTAAATGAATAATAAGTAAAATGAACAAAATATAGATAAAAATTAATTAAACACAAACCTTCCATTAAAAAATAATGAAAGTGACATTAAAATATAACCTCAAATAAACTAATAACATGAAAAAAGATATAGTCTCCTCGAAGAAAATAAAAAGAGTAATATAATGCCAGCAAAATAATAACTGGCTGTAAGGGCTTCAAAATTTATAGATATAAATTAAATATAAAAATAATAATCAGTAAAAGAAAAATTGAAGCGTATATTAATGAGTAGATCTTTTGATAATTGGATTATAATTTTAGTTATTATATTTACAATAATTGTTTTTGTATATTTTGCTATAGATACTAGAGATAATAAATATAATAAAGAAATACAAAGTGTTATAAAAGTATTTTAATATATTGAATTAGTTATATTGTTTATTTTTTAAATTGAAATTTTTCTGAAAATGTATACTTTTTCTATTCAAGTATATATATTTAATTTTATTAAAAATATATATTTAATTGTAAATAGGTTTATTTTAAAGATAAGTGGTTATTAGTTGATATGATAATTATGGTGGCTTCAATTGTAATATTAGTACTTGATATTGTACTTAATGATTCTTAATTTACTACTATTTCTAAAATACTTAGAGGTATATTTAGATTTATGAGACTTTTTTTAGTTTTCAGAAAGGTAAAAATAACTTATTTATTTTATTTTTTATTAATTTAATACTCTTTATTAGGTTAGCTAATTCAAAGTTATATAAATAACATCTTCTAATTCAAGTGTAAAAACTTCAATGGAAAGAATTTTAGAAATAATGAATAATATAAAAAAAAATGTTGATGATATAATTTTAATTAAATAAATTGATTGGTAATTATAATTTGTGTCATTGTTTTATATAAATTTGTAATATAAAAAGGTGCATAAAATAAATAGAAAATAATAAAATTTATGATCCAATATTTGAAGATACTGAAGCGGCAAAATGGGTTAATATATATGCAAATACAGAATAGAATTCTAAAAAGAAAAAATAATAAACAGTACTAGACAAATAATTGAAAAATCAATTAAATTCCAATGCCTAAAAAGCAGAAGACTAAAAAACTTAATTAGTTAATTTATAATATCAGTCTATGAAAGTCCCTGAAGAATTTTTAAAATATTTTGAAACAATAGATAATATAGACTTTTAGGTTTTCAAATATTATCAAGAACTAAAGAAAAATAATTTAGCATATTTACTAATTTATTTATTTAATCGTTATGATATTAATAACACTGCCAAAATAGATCCAAACCACTTGTGGAATTGGTCAAATCATATATCTGCTGGATATAAAAATAACCCTTATCATAATAATGTTCATGCATTTGATGTCACTTAGGTTTTCTTTTTTTATATTTTATGTCAAATATTTTTTCATTTGTTTTTTTATATTTCTATAAAAAAAAGACAGTACATTTTTTTATATAAAGTTGCGAATTTATCTAAGTTGCTGAATTAAATTCTTTAGAAATAGGAATTATGTATATCGCAGCTGCTGGTCATGATTATGAACATCCAGGATTCAATAATCCTTTTTTGGTAAACTCTAAAGGAGAGTTGGCAATTAGTTATAATGATAAATCACCTTTAGAAAATCATCATTCATTTTCTGTTTTTTATTTAATGACAAAAGATAACTCTAACTTATTTACAAATTTTAGCAAAGAAGATAAAAAAAAGTCGAGGGAGAGAATTATTAATATGATCTTACATACCGATAATGCTGTTCATTTTTCTGATTTGGCTATGTTAAAGGGTAGATAATAAGCTTAAGGTAATTATTTATTTTGATTTTTGATTTTATTTTTAAAAAAAGATTTTAATCCGAAAAATAAAGATAAAGATATTTGTATGAATGCATTGCTGCATGCTGCAGATATTTCAAATCCTTATAAACCTTGGGATATTTGTAAAGTTTGGACATAAAAAGTTATGTAAGAATTCTGGAATTAAGGAGATGAAGAAAAAGAAAGAAATCTTCCTGTAAGTTACTTATGTGATAGATATACTACTAATACTGCAAAATGCTAGATTGGTTTTATTGATTTTGTTGTCTTTCCTTTGTATGATACTATTAATAAGTTTATTCCTAAATTAGATTTAGGTAATTTTGCTCTTAATAAAAAAAAATGGACTGAACTTATAGATTTCTATGAAGAAGATCTTAAAATGAAAATTGAATAATTGGAAAAAGCAGAAAAAAATTTATAAAATTCAAAAGCATAATAATGAATTGTTTTTATTAATTAATTATTTGTTTTTATAAATTTGAATATTATATATTTTTTGCTTTAGATTTTTAATAATTCATTTTTTTTATTGTTTTTATTTATATTAAAAAATAATTTTTATATATTGTAAAACGTATAAATTTTTTAGCATTTATATTATTAAAATAATTAATTAAAAATCATATTTATAATAGATAAAATAAAATTTATTATAGATGATTAATATTTTTCTTTATTCTAATAAAATATTTGATTAATAATTTTTTATTTTATATTAAATAAACTAATATGTATATTTTTCTATATATATTTTTCGAAAATTAACATATTTATTTTAAATAAAAAAATATATTAAAAAAGCCAAAATTATTATTCAGAATAAATAAATGAAAACTATTAGAATTGAAGATATTAATATGCAAGATGAAAGATATAAAGAATATATTGAATAAACATATCTGAATTTTTATGATGAACAATATGATAATAATTTTTAGTTTAAAGATTAATTTTAATTTAACACTATTTTAGGAAAAGGAGCTTTTGCGGTTGTAATTTCCGCAACTATAATTAGTAGTCAGGAATAAGTTTCAATAAAGGTTATTAGATTTTATTAATTTTAATTTAATATGTATTTATTATTTAAAGATTATTGATAAAAGATAGTTTAAAAATTAAAAACTATTAAAATAAGAAGTTAAAATTTTAAGAAAACTGCAACATGAAAACATTATAAGATTTATAAAAGTAATAAAATAAATTTGATAATTTTTTTATTATGAATATAAAAATAGTCTTTTGAATCTATAGAATATCTTTTTATTGTAATGGAATTTTTTTAAGACGGAGTTACCTTATATAATTATATATAAATAAGAAAAGAACAAAATAATCCTTTGAAAGAAGAAGAAATAAAGAACATAATCAAAAATATACTTCAATCAATAAATTACATTCATAAAAATTAAATAATCCATAGAGATTTAAAACCATGTAATTAAAAACTTATTTTTTAATTTAAAAATAATAATTTATAAGAAAATATATTAATAAAGCCATCTTAAAGTCCTAAAGAATTTGAAATAAAAATTATTGATTTCGGGTTATCTTTTTAAAGTGATTATTAATTAACAACAAATTAAAATTGTGGTACTTTAATATATATGGCTCCTGAAATGGCTTTAAATTAATAATATTAGAAAGTATTTAGTTTTTTAATTCATTTTTAATTATTTATTTTTATAAAAAAAAGTCTATTGACATTTGGAGTGTTGGAATCATATAATTTATATTATTTAACATGGGAAAGCATCCTTTACATAATTAAAATGATAAAAAAAAAGATTTCCTAAAAAAAATAAAAAATCCGGTATGGGTTTTTCCTGAAAATATGAATGAGTATTTATTTATTATTTTAGTATTTAATTTTTATTTAAGCTGTTAAAAGCATTTCTTTTTAAAAACTGCTGCTTTTAATCCTGATGATAGAATGACTGCATAATAAGCTTTAAAGCATACGTGGATTAGCGGAGAGGGTTATTTTTCAGATCCAATTACTATAAATGATATTTATACATGTATTGTTAATATGTAGAATTTTATAAAAGTATATAAATAATAAAATGAATAAATACATTTTTTTTTCAAAAAATATATTCATTTACTTTTATGTAAAAAGACATTGAAGAAGATTCTTATGTTTAATTATATAAAAAATAGATGTACTTAATTAAAGTGTTTTGAATATAAAAAAATAGAAAAGGCCATTAATAATCAAGAAATTATTTAAAAATAAAATAATTAGTATTTTTAAAATATAAATAGTAAAATAATTCAATCTATCAAACACTAAAATAAATAATAATATTTTGAACGTAATCGTATTTTACCTTAAATTCATTAAAATAGTATGGGAGCAAACGATTTTAATAATATATATTTTAGTTTGCATCATTAAGATTTCCAGATTGGTTAAAATAATGATTCATATAGAAAAACGCATAGCCTTTCTTAATAAATATAATAAAATTATTAAATGAGTAATTAAAATAGTATTGATTTGAGTTAAAATTATTATACTCCATAAAAATATTACAAATTAAAAAATTAGTGTAGCATGCAATATTAAAAGTCTAAAATTTATAATATTAAACTTTTGAATTCTTTAGATAATTTTAAATTACCGTAATTAAAATTAAAATTTATGTATATAATTTTAATTATATAGATAAATAAATAATACCATAACTCCTGTTAATAGTGATAAAGAATACCAAGAAATTGTTAAAAATTAAATTTTGCCTAATTTAAAAAATAAATCAAATTATTTTCTATTAAAAAATAATTCAAATAAAAACAGTTTAAATTTTTAAAAATGAGAAAAATATAATTTCAATAAATTTATTCAAACTAATTAAAAAAAAAACTTTATTTCAAAAAGTTGATTCTAAAAAATGAATTTACAACTATTTATTATTTTAAATTATAAATAAACAGATTTTTGCTTAAAAATTAAAATAACTATAAAATGAGTTATTGAAATATAAAAAATAATATAGATTATATATTTAAAATTTATTTTATTTTCAAATTTAACTTATTTAATAGAATATAAAATATTATTTAATATAATCATCTTTATAAAATTATATTTAAAAAAATAAAACACAAAAATTATTTAAATTTTTTACAAAAGATAACAAGTTCAAATATTATAAAAATTAAAATATTATAAATTTACTTATAAAACATTTATTAAATATAAGAAAAAAAAGAAAAAAAAAATGAACGAATAATATGCTGATGAAGCCGAATAAGAACAGGGACCAATGTTGATTTAAAAACTTGAAGAACATGGAATAAATAATGGAGATATAAAAAAGTTAATTGAAGCTGGATTCCAAACAGTATAATCAGTATCATTTACAATAAAAAAGAACTTATTACAAATAAAAGGAATGACTGAAGCCAAAATAGATAAAATATTAGATATAGCATGTAAATTGGTACCAAATGATTTTTAAACAGCAGCTGAATATTTACAAAGGCGTGCATAAGTTATAAATATATCTACAGGTTCATCTGAATTGGATAAAATATTAGGAGGAGGGATGGAAACAGGTTCTATTACAGAAATATTTGGAGAATTCCGAACAGGGAAAACTTAAATATGTCATACATTATGCATTACTTGCTAATTACCTAAAAGCAAAGGTGGCGGTGAAGGAAAAGCCATGTATATTGATACTGAAGGTACATTCAGACCCGAAAGACTTGAATAAATAGCCCAAAGATTTGGACTAGATCCACAAGAATGTATGGAAAATGTGGCGTATGCCCGTGCTTATAATTGTGATCAATAAAATAAGTTGCTTATTTAAGCTGCTGCCTTAATGGCAGAATCAAAATATTCGCTTTTAATTGTTGATTCGTCTACTGCTTTATATAGAACTGACTTTTTGGGAAGAGGTGAATTATCAGTAAGATAAAATCATTTAGGAAAATTTTTAAGAAATATTTAAAGGTTAGCTGATGAGTTTTCGATTGCGGTCGTTATTACGAATTAAGTTATGTCTTAGGTTGACGGGTCAGCTATGTTTGCTGGGGATATGAAAAAACCCATTGGAGGAAATATTATGGCTCATGCTTCTACTACGAGACTTTATTTAAGAAAAGGAAGAGGAGAGTCGAGAATTTGTAAAATTTATGACTCGCCTTGTTTACCAGAATCAGAAGTTTTTATATTTTTCTTTTTTTTTTAATTTATATTCTTTAAAAATTTTTAGGCAATATTTGGAATTTCATAAGGAGGTATTGCAGATTTTAACGAATGAGAATTTTCTTTTAATTATATTACTTTTAAATATTTATAATTTTAGTTTATATATAATAATAAAATGTACTATTAAGATATTTTATTTATTTATTTTTATTTTTTTGATAATTAAAATACTTTTAAATTTATTATTTATATTATTTTATATTTTGTTTCTAATAAAATACTATTTTTAAAGTTATTAAAATTTTAGATTATATTAACATATTATACAAAAAAACTAAATAATTCTTTGTATATGTCTCTTAAATTTTTACTTTATTTTATTGGTTCATAAATCTAATTCATATATACATTTATAAAAATTTTATTTGTTTTCTATATATTAATGAAATAATTGGAAGAAACCTATTTTCTATAATTAAAATATATATAACATAAAGGTTCTAAAGTAAAAAAATATTATAAGTAGAATATGTGGCTTTCTTAACTTGATATTATAATTTATTTTACTTTGTATATTTTCTTTTTTAAATTTATGAATTTATTTTCATTTCTGAAATCAAAGGGATTAATCATGATTTATTTATATTATATGTTTAATTTTAGTAATTTTTTTAAATTTATTATTATTTTGGCTCTTCATCTTTAAAATTTGAATTATTTTTATAATTTAAAAATTATAATATTTATTTCTTTTATTTTTTTTAAAAAATATAATTATTTATAATTTTTAATTCTTAACTTATTAATTTTAGATAAACTAAATATAAACTTAAATATTTATTTTTCATCTATTTTTGATTAAATTATGAAATAAATATTTAGGTATATATTAATATAAAATTAAAAAGAATTTATTATACTTAATTAATAAATAATAATAATTTTATATTTATCTAATCAAAATAACATAAAAATAAATTATATTAATTAAAAATTTAATGTTTAAAATATTTAATATTTATAATTTTCATTAGTTTACTATGTTTGAAAAAACTTGTTCTAAAGTTGAATTTAGCAATCCATAATTTTTAATATTTTTAGTAAATTCATTTACATTTATTCCTTCAAAATTAATTTAATCTTCTAAAATTTTATAAAACTATTTAATTTATTCAACCTAATTAACTAGGACAACAACATTCCCAACACATTTATTTTGAATTTTCGCCCCTGGAAGTATGCATTTAATTGCTTATATTCCTTTTTAAGTATATTATTCATTAAATTTAATATCAATAGTATAGCCATCACCAAACTAATTTTTTAAAAATAAAGAAGTACCTAAAGCTTTGAGTTAGCCATTAGCCATAACAATAATTCTATCACTTAAAACATCGGCTTCTTCCATTGCATGAGTAGTAAGGATAATACTTCTATTTTATTTTATTTCTCTTATTATATTCCAGACTTCTCTTCTCGTTTTAGGATCCATTCCAGTAGTTGGCTCATCCAAAATAACAATTTTCGGATTTCCAATAATCGAAATTGCTAATGAAATTCTTCTTTTTTGTCCTCCACTAAATGTTCCTACTCGCTAATTTTTTCTATCAAACATATTTACTTCTTACATTCTTCGATCTATTTCTTTTGGTATTTCTTCTAATCTCATGTTTTTTATTTTACAATACATTTCCAAATGTTCCTAAGCTGTTAACTCATCCCATAAAATATCGAATTATGGACAAACACCAATATATTTTCTTATTTCTTCCATATCTTAGGATATTTAATAATCACATATATATGCAGTTCCTTCTGATGGAGCAAGCTAACCTGTTAAAACATTTATTAAAGTACTTTTTCCTGCACCATTTTGACCTAATAAGGCTATTAATTCACAGTCGTCTATTTCAAACCATATGTCTCTTAGTGCAACCACATCATCTTTTGATTTTCTACCTAAAAGACTTTTAGTATAGCTTTTTCCCAAACCTAGAACTCTTATTCCTTTTACAGATGATTTTTAATCATGATTTTATTAAACCCTTTTTTTTTCCTAACTTACTGTATCGAGATTTTCATTTTCTGAATAGTTAAAATCTAAATGGTTTTCGCTTTATTTCAAAAAGTTTTATTTGTAATATTTTTTTCTGAATAAACAACTCCAAAAACTTTTTTTAAAGAAAAAAAATGCACTTTCAGATGAACCTCTATTCTAAAAAAATATAATATTTACTATATTTAATAAAAAAAGAATACACTTGGCATGACATGATCAAAATATAAGGCCATTAAAAATATTAAAATAGAAAGTCCATTCATGTAAATAAAAGATTGCATTAAAGTAGGAGCTTCATACATTACGGGTGGATAAGAGAATTTTCCTTTAATAGTTTTGAATATATCATCATAATTAAATCCTGGTGCATCGCTCCATCTACTATTGGTAATATCATAATGTTTATTAGTTCTTTGAACAATATCTTAGAAAATCTTCGAATAATGAAAAGGTGGATAAATACTGAACAAAGTAAGAAGTAAATAAGCATAGATATCAGGCTCTGTTTAATATAAGAAATATATAAAGATTGGAGAACTCATGAAAATTTCCATAACAATAGCTAATAAAAGGAATCCATAACCAATAGTATAACCTAACTATACACTATTACAAACTGTAGAAATTAAATAGGCAATAGAAAGTATTGACATTCCAAAACAAACAAATACCAAATAAATAATTATTAATGAGCATTTAATAAAAAAATCAAATCTAAATAAATATCCTACAAAAATCATCACAAACTATAACAAACACATGGACAGAAACGAATAAACAACCCAACTTGCTATATAAGAAAATTACGAAAGGCCTAATGTGGTAAGTCCTTAACGCAATTTTTTTTCTTTTTCGCGCAAAACTTCATTTATTAATAGAATAAAGCTAATCATTACTGGAATAAATAAATAGAATGCACCATATGCGGAAAATAAATCAAATCCCAAAGTAAATCTAGTTGGAAGTTTTGGATAATCTTATATAGTGGCTTGTATTCTTTCCTTATCATAGTTTATATTTAATTATTGGTCATAAGAAGTATACTATTCATATTTATTGTTTTGTACGATTTCTATTATGGCATTGTCTATGGATAGTTTTAAAGATAGTAAAAGATCTTCTTTTCCTACTGCTTTTTTTGGGTCAGTTAAAAATGCTGATCTATAGTTAAGAGTACTATTATATAAAATTGTATACATAAAACTTTTTATAGTTAAATGTTATTAAAAATAACCATAATATTTATCAAACAAATTTAAATTACAAGGAATTTTCATAGGAATTCCTTTAAAATCGTAAGGGTAATAATCAGTGCAGAAAAATACTCCTATTTAAGTCCTATTTAAATTTTTTTTAATATAGTTGCTTAGATTTTCAACGTTTGCTTCACTTATCTATTTTACATCTTTCCCAAATTCTAAATTATTTTTTTTTGCAACGTATTTCATTACCTCTTTGACCCATATTTGCTCGGTGCCAATTATATGATAACCCACAGATATACAATTATCATCGTCTGGATCAAACGAATCAACGTATTCTGGAGATATGCATTTTGGAATTCTTTCTGGAGTATATATTGGAGGTTCTAATTATTTAAAAACGGTTATTTTGTTAGCTACTTGTTACCAAAAAGTCATCAAAAGAAACACTATTAAAGGGGTTGTATAATGAAATATAAATACATATTTGTGTCTTTGATTTATTATAATTTTTTTTTTTAAAAGCAGAATTATATGCTTGATTGTTGTTTTTATTTCTTGCTTAAACGAGCTTTATATCATTGTTTTTTCGTTATTTATTACTTTTTAAATTTCAATGTTTTTGTCAATTTATAAATTATACATTTTTTTTATATTGATTTTAATATATATAAATATTTAAAAATAATTTTATAAATTGTATTTTTATAATTTATTTTAATTTTATTTTTAAAAAAATATATATAAAATAAATTTAAAAATTTAATAATTATTAATATAAGGATACTTTGAGGAATTTTTTATTTTTTTATATATATATTTAGCCTCTTTAAAAATTATGTTTTAAAATTTAATTCAATAAATAAATAAGATAATTATATTAATTGAGAATAATTATAAAAAAATATATTCGAAAAAAAATTTATAAAAAAAAATTATTTAAAATAAAAGTATAAATATAAAAATAAAGAAAAATAAAATAATGTAAATTATATATAAAATAGATATAATATAAAAAAAAAACTATTTTATTATAATAATTATAAATTATATATATATATATATATATATATATATGTAAATTTGTATATATTTATATGAAATATTTTCTTTGAATTATATATTTTTATGAATGTTTTCTTAAAAAACATTAATTTTAAAAATTTTTATATATTTTTTTTTAATTAAATTTCATTTTATTTAAGCATACATTTTAATGAATATTTATTTTCACCTTTAATTATGATATTTTATTTTATTTTTAAATTAATTATTATTATTTCTATTATAAAAAATACATTAATTCTATAATTTTTGTATATTATTTTTGTTAAAATGTTTTTTGATTTTTAACTTTCATTAAAATAATATTTTTTTGTTATATTTTTAAATTGATAGAATTATTATTAAATTAATTAAGTTTTTTAATTTTTTTGTATTTTTTAGTTTTTGGATTAAAAATAGATTATAATTTAATGATTTTCATATGTATGTTTTGCTTTATTTATAAGGATAATTAACACCTTTTACATCTATTCTTACTCCTAATTAATTATTACCACAAGCAAGATATTATCCAGATTAAGCAAAAAACAAATAATTATTATCTCCATATAATATATTATAAATATTAATTATTATTTTCATATTTAGTTTTCTTTATATTCAATACTATCATACCTGTTCTTATTATTCATATTTATTGTTTTCAATTTAATAATTTTTTTTAATTTCTATATAAATAAAATATATTTATAAAAAATATAGATAACAAGTTATTACATTATTTTTTCTACATATTAAAATTCATTTTTAGTATAATTAACAGTTCACAAAATTTAATTTGTATGTGTAGATTAAAATTATTTCTAGATTCCTAACTATCCTTCAGCATTACTTCCCCAAGTAAATAAATATCCATCTTCATAACTAACGGCAGTATGATTAGCTCATAAACTTATTTAAATAGCTTTAAAACTTTTTATACTTTCTACTAATGTAAAAATTGATTTAATTTATTTTCTTCTGTCAATATTACTAATTTTCCTTATATATTATTACCCATTGAATATATTTAGTAATTTTTCGCTATTAAACAAGTATTTTTTTAACCAAAAGCAATAATTTGTATAATTATATTGAAGCTGGTGAATCTTGTACTAGAATAGGTTTGATCTGTTTTAATAATTTAAATTTTTTTAATTATTTATTTATAATTATGAGTATTTTTATTTTTTTTAAATTATGAATGTTAAATTAAAAAATATTTATTTGCACAAACTATCTTTTTATATAAATTAATTAATAATCAAATAAAAATTGTGAATTATTTACTAAGCATTATCTGTTATTTATTCTTAAACATATTCATAAGAAACTCAATAAAATTATTTTAAATCTTACTTCATCGTTTTCAGAATGATATAGTTTTTGAAATAATAAAATACTAAATCATTGTGTATTTTATTTTTTTCCAAAGTTTTTAGACCTGAATTACCAAAATTAAGATTTATTAAAAAATAGGAAAAATTCCAAAATTAAAATTTTTTTTTAATTAAAATCAAATTAAAATTATAGACTATTAAAAAATGATGTGAAAATAAATGCTATTGTACTTTCTACGATTTATATAGATTTTACATATGATTCTATTTTAAATAAAATATCAAATATTTAACTTTACCTAATTTACAATTATAAATAATATCTTCTTTAGAATTAATAAAATATTTAAAAGTTTTTAGTAAAGCTAATGTTTTTTTATTTAAATTATCTTTAAGAGCAATATATTGTATAGTATAATAAATTCATAAATATAAAATTAAGATGAAAAAAACGACGGAATATTTAAATATTAATTTATTGTTTTAATCAATTGTCTAAAAAAGCTAGCAATAAATAATATAAAAATTTATGAAAATTATAAAAACTAATTCATTAATCATCTAATTATTTATATATTTATTGTTAATAAAATTTTTTCGTATACTTATTTTTAAATATCTTAAATAAAATAATTATATAAATAATTTTTAAATATAATACAAATAAAATATAAAATATAAAAAAATGATAAAAGATTACGATTATTTATTTAAATTAGTTATAATTGGAAATAGTGGAGTAGGAAAATCATCACTTTTATTAAGGTTTAGTGATGATTAATTTAATGAAAATTATTTAACGACTATAGGTGTCGATTTCCGTTTTAGAACATTAAACATAGAAGGAAAATCAGTAAAACTTTAAATATGGGATACTGCAGGTTAAGAAAGATTTCGAACAATTACTTCTGCATACTATAAAGGTGCAGATGGTATAGTTCTTGTCTATGATATCACCTCTTAGAATACTTTCGACGATATAGAAAAATTTTGGATTAGTGAAGTTGAAAGTTATGCTGAAAAAAATGTTGAATTAATGCTTATTGGAAATAAAAAAGATTTAAATTAATAAGTTACTACATAAATTGCAGAAGAATATGCAAAACACAAAAATATGGAATTCTTTGAGGTTTCTGCAAAAACTGCTGATAGCGTGTAGTAAGCTTTCTTAACCCTTTCAAAAAAATTAATGGCTAAAAGAGAGCCTAAGAATCAGTAAGGAAATAATTAATAGCATTCTTAATAAAGATAAAATGTACAAAATCTTGGCAATCCTAAATTTTAATAAAAAGCTGATAAAGGAGGATGTTGTTGAATAAAAATAATTTATTTTATTCAATATTAAGTAAAGAAAAAATAATTTTTTAATATCATTTATTTTTGAACAATTATTATATTTTTTTAAAAATAAAAATTAAAAATATAATATATAATATTAATTTATTGCATATATATAAAGAGAAACTTTAATTATTAATTATATATTAATTTATTTTATATAAAAATAATAATTTTTAATTATTTTTTTTAATATTGATATTAATTATATTATTTATATATTATTATTAAATATATAAAAATAGATATACATAGAAATATATATATATATTTTTTTTTTTTAATAAAAAATTTATAAAAATTTTATATTTATAAAAATTATTTTATTTATAAATTAGTTTATAAAAAATATAAATATTTTTTTATATAATAATGTAAAATTTGATATTTTTTAAAAAAATATATTATTTATAAAACTTTAAATAATAATTAAAAATATAATAATTATATAATATATAATTATAATAAAAAAAATAATATATATTAAATAATAATATTTTATAATCATTTTAATATTTTATTAAAAATATATATGTTATTTTTTTATTTTTATTTTTTGTATATATTATAAAATAATAATATCAATTATTTATATATATATTTTATTATAATTTAATTTATATATTGTATTTTTATTATTTAAATTTAATTTTTAAATATTTATTTGTTAGTATAAACATATTATAATTAAATATTTAACTTATAATTTTTTGATATTAATATTTTTTTTTTTTAATTGATAAATATTTTTAGTTTAGATGACTTTACATATTTTATTTATTTTTCCAAATATTTTTTATTTTTATTATTTTGTATTTGTTGACTTGATTTTTAAATTAAGAAGTGAATCTATTATTTTTGATAATTTTTTCTTGTTATATTTAATTTATTATATATAATTATTTTATAATATCTATTAGAATATCTTTTCTTAGTTTATCATTTCAAAGTTTTTATATTTATTGAATAACATTAGAATTTTTTATTTTATTTTATAAAATATTATAAAAATTTAATATATATATATATAGCTTACTTTCTTACTACTTATTATTTATTTCATAGTTTATAAAAACTATATTTATTATTTTAGAAATTTTTAATTTTTTATACTTTATTAAATGAATAGTTAATCTATTTTAATTGTTTTATATATATGTTTTTATAATAAATATTAAATATATATAAACAGGCTTTACTATTCTCATAATTTTTATTTTATTACCTTTATTTTCTTTTGATATAAAATCTGGACTAATTTTCTTCGATTTCAATGACTTAAATATAAAATTTTTTACCAGCTTTTGTATGGTTTCCTAAAAACCATAAAGTTTTTATTTTATTTTATTTAAAATTTCGACTGCCGTTTTATGTAATTCCTATGTATTATGCCTAAAATTTTATATTCGGAATTCGTAAAATTTTTAACTATACTTCTAATTTTTTAAACAAGTAATATCTAACTGAGAAATTAAATAATGGAGTCTTATATTTAATGCTAATAACTTCATTGATATAAATGTCGTTTTCTTAAATTAATAAAATATACTCTTTAATATAAAGTTTAATAATGGTTATTTAATTATATATAAATTAAATATATATATTTTTCAGTTAAATATTGATTATTTATGCATTTTATTTTTTCAATAATAACTAAAAAATTAAATTTCAATTCATATTATTATTTTAAAAAAATAAATTAGTCTAAAATTTTATTATGTAATTAATATATTAAAATGTAAATATTAATTCAATTTTTTTTTTAAAAAAATTATATATTAAATTAAAAAATATATTATTTAAATTTTGTAATATTTTATTTTAATAATATATTTTATAAATAAAATTTAAATTAAAAATAAAATATAATATAATAAAAGTATAGTCAAAATTTATTATCTCAAAAATAGATTTAATTAAAATGAAAAAATTATTATTGAAAATATTGTAATAATTTTTATACTATTTTTTTAAATAAAGTGCAAGAAATTAAAAATATAATTATTAATTATACTATTATGACTTACAAAAAATTTAATTTTTTATCAAAATTTCTATTAAATATATAATGTTTTTTAATTTTTTTTTTTCAATAAAAAAATAAAAATAAAGATTAATAAAATATAATATAAAATTAATAAAATAGTTGACAAACATAAATAATTAAAAAAAATTAAAATTATGAAAGCATAAATGAAAAAATATTAAAATAAAAGAATAAATTAAATATTACATTATAAAAATTAATAAATTACGAAAAAATATATGCAATTATTGAAGAAAATATAATTAATAGTTTTAAATAATAAAATATAAATACAAATTTAGAAGAGTTTTATTAATAATTTTTATAGACTAAGTAAACTTTAAAAAAATATTACTTTTCATTTTCAACATTTGTTATTTTTTTAAAGAAGAAAATGAATCTCTTTTAAAAATAGGCCAGCCTATATAGAGAAATAATAAATCAAAAATATATTATATGTGAATTATTAATTAAAATATATAAACATCCTAAATATAATCTATATTTATTGATAGTGAAGATTTAATATAATTATTAACTTATTTTTATAATTAGTATAAATAAAGTAGATGATTTGTAAATAATTAAAGAAAGAATAAATTGAAAAAACTTTTTTTATTTTATATAAAGTTTGATTTTAAAATTATAAAAAAAGAAATAATTTATTTAACCAATAATTGGATAAATAATAATAGTTAATTAATTATTTAAAATATGTTATTATTTAAGAAATTATTATTGATAAATTTAACATACACTAAAAATTTAATGCAATATAATATTTATTTAAAAATTAAAAAATTAAAATGATATTAATAAATTATAATATATATATTATAATAAAATAAAAAAAAATAAAAAAAAATAATAAAACATTAATAAGAAATAAAAAAAATATTATTAATAACTAATAAAAATAAAAATATTTTAAAAAATAAAGAAAAAAATATTGACATAAACAAAAAAAAAATATATCATATTTATTAGTTGTTAAAATAAATAAAATCTATTTCTATATAATTTAATATATAAGAATACAATTTAATTGAGAATTGAATAAGAGAGAAAAAAAAGTTTAATTTAAAGATGAAATAGAATATGGGTTAAGGGGTTGGGAATTGGGGGGTTGGGGTTGGGGTTGGGGTTGGGGTTGGGGTTGGGGTTGGGGTTGGGGTTGGGGTTGGGGTTGGGGTGGGG